TGCTTGCAAACATTTCATGTTAATGATTATGTTCACAAACGGATGCTATGGTTGTTTGGAGTGGCTTCTGTTCCTTCCAAATCTAGCACACAAAATATGGATTGCTCTTTCAGACAGATAAATTGCAAAAGATCTTCGACAGGTATGTTAAACCTTACCGAGGCACAATTAGATGAGCAGAGAGTAAACATCAGCAGAGAGCATGACGCTGTTAAAGCCAGTAAGCAGGAACACTTGCATTGCGAACCGTGCTTCACTGCTGACTCCATTGGCTAGCACAATCATTTGGTTAGCAAGTACGCCGCTGGCTGGGCACCTAAACACAAAAATCAGTCAGTTTTAAATTACTGCAGTGGGTATTTTAAAATACTGTCAAATCATGTTATAGTAAGACAAAATGTAACATGCTAAATTTATGACCTGAATCCCTACATAAATAAAAATATAGATATTTCTTCAGTACTTCAGAAACAGAATCAAATAATATGTTAATTGCTACTACTAGGGCTGAAAAAAACAACAACAAAAAAACAAAAAATGGTAGCATGCATGGCAAAGTAAATTTCTAGAAGTGACACAAATGTTGGGCAAGGAATGCATTATAATATTATATCACCTTGGAAGGTAATATATGTACAGTTCTGCTTAAGGATAAGGCCTCAGACACTGTGACTGCTCTATTTGTAAGCATTATACACTCACCGGCCATTTTATTAGGTACACCTGTTCAATTGCTTGGTAACACAAATTGCTAATCGTGCAATCACAAGACAGCAACTCAATGCAATTAGGCATCTAGACATGGTGAAGATGACTTGCTGAAGTTCAAACTAAGCATCAGAATGGGGAAGAAATGGGGATTTAAGTGGCCTTGAACGTGGCATGGTTGATGGTGCCAGATGGGTTGGTCTGAGTATTTAAAAAACTGATGATCTACTAGGATTTTCACGCACAACCATCTCTAGGGTTTTACAGAGAATGCTCCAAAAAAGAGAAAATATCCAGTGAGCTGCAGATGTGTGGATGAAAATACCTTGCTGATGTCAAAGGTCAGAGGAGAATGGGCAGACTGGTTGCTGCAACATTCAGATGGTAGGGTCAGAATGTGGCGTAAACATGAAAGCATGTCTATAGGCACATCGCACAACTAACTACCTTAAAGCATAAGTATGTCAAGCCAAACACAAAAAATTCATATCAGGTACATCATTATTATACAGGATTTATTTCCTAGATTGTAATCTCCAAGGAGCAAGGCCCTCCTATCCCTTTTGTATTGAACTGTATTGTTGCTGTATTGTCTCCCGTTATTTTGTAAAGCACTGAGCAAACTGTTGGCGCTATATAAATCCTGTATAATAATAATAATAATCTGTGTAACACATGTACATTTCCCCACATTTTATCCCTTTGAAGATCCTGCAAATACCTGTTGCTATGCTAAAATGAGCACTGTTGTGGGCTGACATCACACAGCACTATTGTGGACTGAATGGTGTCTAGGAATGAGCTTGGGTTTGGTCCAACCCAAGTTTGTAACGGAACCCAGTAGGAAGCTGCCACCCACTACTGTCCAATTTCAGCCAGGGTATTCCTTGCTCCCCTCAGAGATACTTACACAAAGGGGTGGAGATGCTCATAATATCATATAACTAATGTGGTCACATGAGGCTGGGGAGCATGAAATGTCCTAGTCACATTTATTTGGGTGGCAGTTGGCGGGAGCAACAGCTTCTTTCCGGGTTAGGTCTGAACCCAAGTTTGGACTTAACCTGAGCCCATCCCTAGTGGTGCCAGCCCTGCTCAGTGTCTTTTGCTAAACTACTCAAGTAACCCCAGTCTCAGATCACTACAATACTGTATATAGCCTAAGCATTCTGTAGTCCAAGATAAGAACAATGAGGTCTCCGTGAGACAAGACAGGACATGTACAAAGGTCACAGGACAGCTCTGAATGGAACTGAAGATCAGTAGATACTTATTGCACTTATCAAATAAATAAATAAATAACAAAAAATGCTTCCAATTGTATGTTAAACCAATTAAATATTAAGCTGATGTGTTATAACCTAACCCCACCATAAAACTGAAAATAAAAAGCTTTGGGCTAAAATACACTTTAAGACATCCCAAATAATCCTTACCCTTATTGGCTTCTGCCACTCTGCATATATAGGACAGTTTCAAAAACAAGGGATTACTGTTTGCTACACCCAGTCCCTTAACCCTGTCATTTGCTAATAATGCGTTTCATTCAGCCTTATACAACTCTTACTTTTTCTCCTAAAGAAGTGATGACAAGGCTCTTATATGCCATACAGTGCATCAAGGAAAATTTCTTCCTTTTGTCATAGATCTTATAGATCTTACTAGCTTGTCCCAATCTTTCCAGGGCCTGGCTCGGGGGTACTCTCAATGAAAAAAAAAACTCTCTTGAGGGCTTATTCCCTTTGGAATTACTAGCTAGATCCTACACAGACTTTGAGTCACTCCTCCCCCAAACTACTAGATCTGAATATTCTTTGCCCCTAATATGCCAAATTTTATTGAGAGAATCCTACCCTCAAGTCCCAGACCATATATCCAGAGGAGGAGGAATTAAACATCTCTCCTGAAGAGCTGGATTGGGACAACATTTTGATGTTTACACACACAACCTCTGTGTCATCCAGAGCACAAGAGAATAATTATAAAATTACCTTCAGATGGTATTGTGCCTCGTGGTTTTAAATAATATTGACACTTCTATCCTGAACATTTGCTGGAGATGTTTACGGCCTGTCCTTTGTGTGATGGCAGTCACTTTGGGTGGGGGGCCCATGGAACACAGCTCACTTTGGAGAGGTGGGAAGACCCCTGTCTCAGCTCCCCATATCTCTCTTATGTGTAAGTCACCCTGTGCATGTTAGGGGTACAGGGTGATCTGTCCTAATATTGGGGTGGGGGGGTTGTTGATTGTTTAATGTCATGTGGTTGCATCCCATTGTTCTATTGTGTGTCTTGCTTGGGGGCAAACTAATATGGGATATATGTGCTTGTGTATTGGCTGTGGGGTGTTTCCAGCAGCCCTCCCTCCTGATGAGACTGTCTGTTGGTGTGTCTCTTGTTACTAAAGATAGATTGCCCTGCCCTGTGTCATTATGCAGGGAGGGGGGGGGGTTGTTCCCTTGAATGTATATATCTTTTATCTGTGTTAAAATAAAGTAGTCTATTTCCTGGTTTACTTCAATATTGGTCTTGTATGGTCTGCTGTGGTGTCTCTGGTCAGTGTTCGGACAGGAAAGCGGTATTCTAATGGAAGTACTCAGCGCAGGCTGGGGTCGGTTCCGTTACACTTTGATTCTCTTCTTTTGGGATAAAAAATACTACAGATTTATTATAAGCTTGTGGCCAATAAGGTCCCAAAAATCCCTAAACTCACTCTGTTGTCTATGTTACCTAGATCATATAAACAAATCAAAAAATTTACTCTGACATTTATTAACCTCTGCACATACTGTTACAGCCAGATATTGGCATACACCAGATACCCCATCTATGGCAGATTGAGCATGCAAATTGAGTTCCATTTGCTATATAGAAAGGTTGATTTCATGGAGCACTCATAAATATGATACTTACAAGACTACATGGTCTGTATGGACTGCATTCAGATACTTTTTAAACTTGACATCATATCTATGAGACAGACCACTCAGATTATGCAGAATTATGCTGAGGGCTTTTTCTTCTATGGTTGCTTTGGAACCTCAGATGTGGTTCTGGCTTCCTATTTTCTCCCCCTATTTTGCTACCCAAGAGATCTACTATATATTCCCATGTCTGTTTCCTAGCAGACTCTAGGGGACTATTTTTTATGAACATGGAAGAAATTAGCAGCATGAGTTGGAGGAGAGGCAAGTATAAGCATTCTTCTTCCACGGTCCGTTCTTTACTGAAAAATTTAACTAAACTACAGACCTGTAATAAAACTAAAGATCAGAGAAAAGTCAGAATCCTTACCTGCAGATTTGTTCTGGGTCAGAAGCTTGAATCATTGAAAAAAAAAAAAAGTTTCAGCATAACAGTTAACCCACTAACCTATGCAGACTGAAAAGTCTGCAATGATAGCATTTATGTTTTACTCAGGAAAGGTTTCCTTTAAAGTTGATCTAACCCTAACTGGATGATATTTAATTTGCTAAAGCGTTGTGTATCATAAACATTGTTTTCAGTTTTTTTTAATCTCAGTTCAGTTGATCTACTTAAGCCTTCTAATGACACTTAGAGGTCTATTGATAAAAAAATTTCAGTGTGAATGTCACGATTAGTACCCATAATTTCCTTTTTAAGTCTACAGTTAGCATACTGGTGATGTAAACACCAGAAAAAAATCACTACAATTTCAGTGAGGTTTGTTAAAGATTATATGAGCTTCTAGATACAGGTTTTAGATCAGTTTTAAATTCTTTCCTTTTGTTCTGGGAAAAAAAATATTCTATTCTGAACAGTTGGACTGCATTACAATTATACACTATATTGCCAAAAGTATTGGGATGTCTGCCATTACACACACATGAAATTTAAAGGCATCCCAGTCTTAGTCTTTAGGGTTCAATATTGAGTTGGCCCAACCTTTGCAGCTATAACAGCTTCAACTCTTCTGAGAAAGCTGTCCACAAGGTTTAGGAATGTGTCTATGGGAATGTTTGACCATTCTTCCTGAAGCCCATTCTGTTCTATCAGGTTGAGGTCAGGATGTTGTGCAGGCCAGCCAAGTTCCTCCACCCCAAACACGATCATCCATGTCTATATGGACCTTCCTTTGTGCACTGGTGAGCAGTCATGTTGGAACAGGAAAAGGTTATCCCCAAACTGTTCCCACAAAGTTATGAGCATGAAATTGTCCAAAATGTCTTGATATGCTGACGCCTTAAGTGTTCCCTTCACTGGAACTAAGGGGCCAAGCCCAACCCCTGAAAAAAAAACCCCCATACCATAATCCCCCCTCCACCAAACTTTACACTTAGCACAGTGCAGTCAGGCAAGTGCCGTTCTCCTGGCAATTGCCAAACCCAGGCACATCCATCAGATTGCCAGACTGAGAAGCATGATTGGCCACTCCAGAGAACATGTCTCCATTGCTCTAGAGCCCAGTGGCGGAGTGCTTTACACCACTGCATCCAATGTTTTGCATTGCACTTGGTGATGTGAGGTTGTTGGTGACTTCTGCACACTGTGCACTTCAGCATGCGCTGCTGTTTCCAATTGCTTTCACTTTGTTATAATACCACTAACAGTTGTCTGTGGAATATTAAGTAGCAAGGAAATTTCACAGATGGACTTATTGCACAGGTGGCAACCTATCACGGGTACCATGCTTGACTTCACTGAGCTCCTGAGAGCGACCCATTCTTTCACAAATGTAAGGCTTGGATGCAGCTGATCGGCCATGGAAACTCATTCCATGAAGCTCTCTTTGCATTGTTGTTGTGCTAATCTGAAGGCCACATGAAGTTTGGAGGTCTTTAGCTATTGGCAACTTCTGCGCACTGTGCGCTTCATCATGTGCTGAGCCCCTGCTCTGTCATTTTACATGGCCTACCACTTTGTGGCTGAGTTGCTGTTCCCAGTTGCTTCCACTTTGTTATAATACCACTAACAGTTGACCATGGAATATTTAGTAGCAAGGAAATTTTCATGGATGAACTTATTGCACAGGTGGCAACCTATCACGGTATCATGCTTGAATTCACTGAGCTCCTGAGAGCGACCCGTTCTTTCACAAATGTTTGTAGAAGCAGCCTGCATGCCTAGGTGCTTGATTCTATACACCTGTGGCCATGGCGGTGATTGGAAGACCTAAATCCAATGATTTGGAGGGCTGGCCCAATACTTTTGGCAATATAGTGTATATTGAAGTCAGTATGTCTTTAGTATCAAAAGTGGATAAAGAACTCACAGAATTATTTGTTTTCTTTGTGATTTTTTTTTGTACTTACCCGCTTGTGAGTAGATTATATATTGGGGTAACTGCTCCTCCAGGAAAGGCATACATGTTCATTACTTTGACTTTAAATGTACTGGTATCCAGGGTTGGTATAACCACTGAAACATAGACATTATCATCCACATACAATGAGTCAGTTTCCAAGAGTAAAGTAGTAAATGAACTGTCTTTATAAACAGCCATGTTTACTGCAAGGTTACGTTTATTCCAGGGACATTTATTGATGTAGAACTGAAAAAAAATTGCTGTGTGAGCTCACTTACACAAAAGTCTTTGTAGAAATGTGTGAATAGATTTGCAAAGTTTATACAAAACTTTTAAAGCATTTTCAGTATGTGTCCTGGCAATATCACAGATTTGGGGATTGGCTACTAATCTTTGGAGTCACTAATTCAGTATAATTTCTAATTTTAGAGGATAATGGCTTGGCTACATATGATTGGTAGGATCATGGATGGCTGCATAATTCACCATCACACTTACTTCTAGGAGCTTATACATTCTGAGAACATTGACCAATGATGGTGCTGGATGAAGTAGTCCAAACTTTCCAAACTTGATAAAAAGTGGTAAAAACCGCATTTCTAAGTGTTTGCGTTTGGAAATTTTTTTTTAACTCTGCTGTCCAAAGCCTTTTTTCATTATGAAAAGTGTTTTACCGGTATTCAAATGGACCTGGTACACCATACTTTTAGGTTTCGCATGAAAGAAAATATGTTAGACACTGCTGCAATAATTTCTGCACAGAAATGAGCTGGAACACATCCAAACACCAGAAACAAAAAAAAAAAGACAGCTGATCTCAACAAATACTGTTCTCTCTGCTTCTGCTCTCTCTATTTCTCTCAAAAAGTCTGAAATAGTTAATTTTTTACTGTTTATCAGTGCATTCTGGGCATTTTGGAAGGTCTCCTGAGGTTATCTTTAAAAAACGCTTCTAAATGCAAACGCTCATAAACGTGATATGCAAATGCGGCTAAACAGACATTTTTTAACCTACGTTTTCCAGCAGTCAGTTTCCATCGTTCAGAAGTGTTTTCCAAACGTCCTGTGTACATGGAGCCTTTCTCAACGTTTTTCTGTCATGGTGCCCTAAAAAGTATTTTTTTAGTCTTGAGGCACTCTAATTGAAGGGCTCTTTCACACATGAGGTTGGGGGATAGGTAAAACCATGCGGTTGAATTGTATTTTTACTACCCCCAACTGCAGCCCCCTTAACTGCAGAGAAAGTGGCCAGGGTTGCACACATGTTGTGGCTGCAATACATTGTGGTTCTGGCAGGAATTATACTTCCTATTGCATTTGGCAGGTGCTATTGCCTGCTAAATGCAATCTATTCAGGTGAATAAGGCAGCACTGCATTGCATGTAGTTACGTCACGGTGGTGCTGCTGCATTTAGGGGGTTAAAACAGGTAGTGAGGAGGTGCCATATCGCCTCCTCACCACCTGTCAATTGCCTCTGAAAAGCAATCCAAAAATTGCTATTCAGAGGAATGGCAGTGCTTACTACTACTGTGAGCGTACCCTAAAAAAAGCAGTTCTGATTGTATAGGATTAAAAGTAATGTATATACACGCATCTGAACATACATACACTCATATACATACATAAACGTACATATACACAAATTCACATACACACATGTACATACATAAACTTACACACACATACACATCCGTACATACACACACACAAACGTACACTATTTTATTTATTTATTTCAGGTACTTGTATAGCGCTGTCAATTTACGCAGCGCTTTACATATATATATTGTACATTCACATCAGTCCCTAACTCTCAAGGGGCGTACAATCTAAGGTCCCTAACTTACATTCATACACACACATACATACTTCTAGATTGTAAGCTCCAAGGAGCAGGGCCCTCGAACCCCTCGTGTATTGTATTGTTACTGTATTGTCTCATGTACTGTCCCCCACTATAATGTACAGCGCTGAGCAAACTTTTGGTGCTATATAAATACTGTATAATAATACTAGGGACAATTTAGACAGGAGCCAATCCAGAGGAAACCGGAGCACATGGAGGAAACCCACGCAGGCACAGGGGGAACATGCAAACTCCAGGCAGGAGGTGCCGTGGCTGGGATTCAAACCAACGACCCTAGTACTGCCAGGCGGAAATGCTAACCATTTAGCCACTGTGCTGACACTTTGTATATACACACACATATGTACATATACACGAGGGGCATTTAAGTCAAACTGGGATTTTTGAGTTTATACAATAAAATAACAAATTTCAAGGTGTAGAATCTGCAATTGTTTTTAAATCGTCACTGATGGATGTACGGCCATCTTTGAAATGATACACCATTCAAATGTCTTACTGTGGCTGAGCCTCTCATCACTGTACTGTGCTTGAAGTCTTCTGTATATACAGTATCTGCTGGTTTTATGCCTTCATTCACAAGAAACTGCATCATCACACGCTGTACCATGCACACACTAACACTGTTGTCTGATCACCGGTCTCTGGACTTAGCCGCGACATGTGCACTGCCTATCAGTAATTGGACACAATTGGACTACACTGCGTGTAGTACCACCACACTAGCATCCGTTTTTTATACCTGTAAATTAAAAGTCCTGTTTCGACTTGAACGACATACATACTGTGTATAGTACATACATACATATACGCACACACATAAAGCCTTTCAACAAATACAGATTGTACCTGCACTGTCACTGCCAGGTAAACTGTTTGCTTAGCAGTGCACTGTAGGAGGAGGTGAAGCAGGTCAGGACTCCCCCATCAACTGTTATATACTGTTCCCCTGATTGAGCTCCCACTATTCTGTGCTGTATGTATACAGGACTTAGACTGGGGGAGCTCTGATCTGTACATCGACTGTGGGAACTTAATCTATAGCCTTTCTCAACCAGAATTCCGCCACCCTTGGCAACCTCAGTCAGCACCCTGGTTGAGAAAGGCTGATTTCGATCTTAACCACTTTCATAGAATCACTGCTTTTGAACTAGTAGGTGATCTGTGTGGGGAATGGCTGCTTGCATGAAAGCCTACCAAGACAGTACAATTTGCACATGAGATACTTTCAAATTGTCATGGTCATTGTAATGCGATAATTACCCAAGTACTGGCTTTAGTGTGATATTAAGCTGAATGCTCGTACTAAAAGAGAAAATGCAAGAAACATTCATAATAATTTTTTTTCCGTATTTGAGCTGGATATGTCACACCATGAATGTACACCTTATTTGCATACGTGATATTGGTTGCATTTTGCTGTAACGAGAATAGCACAGTTCATTAAACAAGGTCAGAAAACACACAGGTTTATAAGAAATTTAAGAAGCAAATATTTGCATTTTTTGTGTTAATTTAAGACAGTCATTTTTTAATACCACTCTTGTTAAAAAAAGAAAAAAATATTTTTTTGTTGTTGTTTGCATACATGTTTTGCATGCTAGCTATTTTAGGGTTGATGTACAGTATGTGTGCTAGCTGGAAATCTGCAACCAATCAAAATCCTGTGTTTCATTTTCAAACTTGGATTTTTTAGAGCCCTTGCACCTTGCTCCTGTAATTAAAGAGACCCTTCCACCACCAAGTACCTCTTAGATGAAAGGTAGGCAGGGAAACTTAATTTATCTCCTTTGCTGCCAGAGCAATTTTTAAATAATTAAAAACTCATTTTAGGCCCGAAGAGTTCTTAAGACCCCCAAAACATTATATGTTTTCTGAAAGTAGACACCCAGAAAAATAAAAAATAGTGGTGGATCCAATTTTTTATGTTAGATATTATTAGGACAATGGCTTACCAAGAGCAGAATTACACCTTTTTCTTCTTGCAGGTCACAGCTCATGTGCAGATTTTTTATTGGTAAAACGATCGGCCGATTTGCCCATCATTGCCAGGAAAATCAGCGGATCGTCAAAATCAGCCGCAAATTTTTCAACATGCCCGATAAAAAAAATGTGCAAAAAGCCCGAAAAATGGCAGACCAATTAACCTACTAATGGTGCGAAAATCGTCCGATTTTCGGCCCGTCTATGGCCGGCATAAGGCAGCAGCTCAAATAAATGATAACTGGATGAGATGAATAACTCCTTATCTTTTCTGCTTTACAAGACAACATGAATCATACATTTCTGCTAAAGATGGAAGTTTACATCCCACTATTTCCTGTGCTGTTTTTTTTCTGAAGAGCGTTCCTGTCTGCTAAAGTACAGTTTGGGTACCTTCCTAAGATACAGTACAATATTACGCTCTCCCATTTGAAGAGTAATGAAAGGTCTCTAGTATTTTTTGCCCTAGAGCATTCTTCCTGAGCAGTCTAAGCAAATATAATAGCTGTTGAGATGTTTTTACAATGGCACATATGTTACCTGACCACAAAAGATTCACATAAATATAATTTTAGAGAAACTTAAAGACATGAACACTTTCCACACACTCACTCTTAACAAAGGGTGGAACAATTTCAGTCTTGTCTTTTCTAAAGTTCACAACTAGCTCATTAGTTTTTCCTGCATTCAAGGTTAAATTATTTAATGCGCACAACTCCACAATCTTTCCTACCTCTGCTTTACAACACCATTGGTACAACTGACTACTGTGGTATTGTCAGCAAATTTTTTAATTCCGTTCAAATGATAGTATGGTGTACAGTCATAGGTGTAGAGTGCATAA